ATTTTGTTACGAAAGGAAAAGCTTCGAGGCCTTCGAAATTTTGGTTGAGGAGCGAAGAAAGGAACTATGATAATTCCTTAGACCAATAAGAGTCATTGAGCCTCTTAGGTTGCTTGCTTGCTAAAAGAAAAAAAAGGAGGAACAAAAAACCGCATAAGACTGTTCAAATATTTAGACGTTACCAGACAGAGCTGCAAAATTTCCGAAAAACAATCGACAATATGAGTTTGAAACAGGACAAAACTGAGACGAATAACGGGTATTTAGATTTGCTCAAGCTTTATTTCGGGTGTGCGTTCGAAAAAGAAAGAAAGAGATGGGAAGGGGAGCATACATTGTGTGAGGCAATTTACGGGGTAAAAACCTGCAAACAACCCTTTATTCAAACTTCAGCGGTATATCGCGGGTCAATTGATAGCGATTCGCCACGCGCGCGCGGTTCTTTATTATTCATAGAGTGTCATAGATTATCTTCCCACCATTCCGCGGTAACCCTCGGTAATTAGATGCCGACGGAGTTAACCGGCACTTAAAGCATGTTGATGCCAATACTTACAAACCATGTCCTGACCCCGTTTTATGAGGATTAACTACGACTTAAACTAAGGGATCTTCCCCTGCAGAACAGGGGGAGCCAAATTTCGCGCATATCTCAGAAAAAGGAAGCACTGGAAAAAAACACATTGGATCTAGAGTCCAGACTCTTAAAAACATCGACAAGAAAAAGTAGGTACTCTTGATTCAATCAGAATCTAGCTTAAATCAAGAACCAAGCCTCTTAATTTAAGCGGATTCCCTTTTGATTCAAGCAAAAATCCGATTGAATCAAGAGTAATTTTTTTTTGTCAATGTCTTCAAGAGTCTGGACTCTAGATCCAACGTGTTTTTTTCCAGTGAGGCCTGAGTTGTTAAAAGGAAGTAAAATTTATTTTGTGAGAGGGTGGAGGAGTTCAACAAATTCGATAAATTCCCTAAAATCGATTAAAATAGCCCTGAAAAAGATTGACCAAACATAGAAAGGGGGAAATTTTTCCTTGCTCTCCCCAAAAAGAACCCCTTGCGCCTTGCTGGCCGGTGCGAGAAGCGACTTCAACAAGCACTCCCAGGGATCATAGTATTTCCGAAGTTCCAAATTCCCTATGTTTTTTTCTTAATCTTTCCCGGGCTCACGAGGGCAAATAACGAGAAGAATTTAGCGACAAAAATCATTCGGCCGGTCGGAACAATCAGGACATAAAATCAACTATATCAATCCAGGGAAGTGCTGAAAGAGTATCCCGGGATAAGCATGTCAAAATGCCCTTGTGAACGGATTTTTATTTTAACCATTTTAAGTCATCAAGGGTGTCCTAAAACTTAGGTTTTGGGGAATTTTAGCGCCCCAACCCCCTCCGCCACCCCCCCCCCTCAGACCCCCAAAAACCGCTTTTTGGGGCTATTTTTGACTATGTTAACGTCTTTTCCTCATAACTTTCGTAATTTTCGATAGAATTGAACCAAAATTTGTCAGAATCAACATCAATTAGTTTAGTTTTTGTAGAAAAAAATTCATTATCATCGGATAATATTTTAGCTTCTAAAAAAATTCGTAAAATTTTAAAAAAAAAAAAACATTTTTTTCCTTTTTTCGCGCTAGGTGACGTATGGAAACGAGGACACAAACGAAAATTGCCTCTTTTCTTAAGTTATACATCCCATAAGATACAGAAAAAATTTCGTGTTGATCGGAGTGGTGCGCCATACTTAAAAACGCAATTTTCTAACCTCAAAACGGCCAAAATGCCACCATAGCCTCCTTTGATGACTAGGCGTGGAGAAATATGTAGAGAGAAACCTTCGGTTTTATCATCTCACCTCGTAAGTGATCCACTTAAGTACCTTGAGCCAAAATTTCGAGTTGATCAGAGTGGTGCGCAACACCCAAGCACGCAATTTACTAACCTCAAAACGGTCAAATTGCCCATTTCGGCACCCATTATCACTCCGTGTTAAAAAATAAGAAGAGGGACATCCGGTTTAATCATCTCACCTCTTAAGTGATCCACTTAAGTACCTTGAGCCAAAATTTTGAGTTGATCACAGTGGTGCGCAACACCTAAGCACGCAATTTTCTAACCTCAAAACGGCCAAATTGCCCATTTCGGCTGATTTCGGCACCCATTATCACTCCGCGTCAAAAAAAAAGAAGAGGGACATCCGATATTATTGTCCTACCTCATAAATTAGACACTTAAGTACCGTGTGCCAAAATTTCGAGTTGATCACAGTGGTGCGCAACACCTAAGCACGCAATTTTCTAACTTCAAAACGGCCAAATTGCCCATTTCGGCACCCATTATCACTCCGTGTCAAAAAACAAGAAGAGAGACATCCGGTTTTATCATCTCACCTCTTAAGTGATCCACTTAAGTACCTTGAGCCAAAATTTGGTGTCGATCAGAGTGGTACGCAGCACCCAAACACGCCGTTTTCTTGTTAATTTAGTTACTAGAATTTACCAGTACTCAGTGCACTACTACGCATTATTGAAGTTAGGAGGAGGGAACGCTTCTACGTGGGGAATGAGCGAGACTCCCTACTGTCACATAATTCCTGGGAGTTCAGAGGTTTCGCTGAGTGATCGGGTCTGCTACGTGGTAGGGTGCCAAAATGAACTTTGAAATGTGCATCATGCACTTTTCAAGCGGGCTCGTCGCAGACATACAGTGATAATGAATGCTAAAATGGGAATTTTGGGAGGTTTCAGGTTAGAAAACGGCGTGTTCCGGTGTCGCGCACTACTCTGATTGACACGAAATTTCAACTAAATGTACTTATGTGTCTAATTTATGAGGTAGGACAATAATATCGGATGTCCCTCTTCTTATTTTTTGACGCGGAGTGATAATGGGTGCCGAAATCAGCCGAAATGGGCAATTTGGCCGTTTTGAGGTTAGAAAATTGCGTGCTTAAGTGTTGCGCACCACTGTGATCAACTCGAAATTTTGGCTCAAGGTACTTAAGTGGATCACTTAAGAGGTGAGATGATTAAACCGGATGTCCCTCTTCTTATTTTTTAACACGGAGTGATAATGGGTGCCGAAATGGACAATTTGACCGTTTTGAGGTTAGTAAATTGCGTGCTTGGGTGTTGCGCACCACTCTGATCAACTCGAAATTTTGGCTCAAGGTACTTAAGTGGATCACTTANTTTTGTCAATGTTTTCAAGAGTCTGGACTCTAGATCCAACGTGTTTTTTTCCAGTGAGGCCTGAGTTGTTAAAAGGAAGTAAAATTTATTTTGTGAGAGGGTGGAGGAGTTCAACAAATTCGATAAATTCACTAAAATCGATTAGAATAGCCCTGAAAAAGATTGACCAAACATAGATAGGGGGAAATTTTTCCTTGCTCTCCCCAAAAAGAACCCCTTGCGCCTTGCTGGCCGGTGCGAGAACCGACTTCAACAGGCACTCCCAGGGATCATAGTATTTCCGAAGTTCCAAATTCCCTATGTTTTTTTCTTAATCTTTCCCGGGCTCACGAGGGCAAATAACGGGAAGAATTTAGCGACAAAAATCATTCGGCCGGTCGGAACAATCAGGACATAAAATCTTCAACTATATCAATCCAGGGAAGTGCTGAAATTTAGCCATCACAAAAAACGATGGTTTGAGAACTCTGAGGGCGTATGATAATTAAGTCAAATTTGTGGAGAGGGGTGGGGGGCATCCGGAAACTTCGGGAACGAAAGAGGTTTTCAGCGGCTGTATCGTGGTTTTGAAACACCGTAGAGCGTGGGCCAGCTGAGTTGACATTCCGCTACCACCGATGCTGCGGTTGGGAATCCCAACAAAGGAATACTTGAAGATAAAGAAAAGCATCTCAGAGAGGAAGCCCACGGTAAAATAGTTTTTGATTAAACCGTGTTCACTTCGTTCACTTTGACGAGAATTTGAAGTTAGATCTTTAGAGACGGTCGCGATTCCTATGGGAATGGAGATTTTGGAAATGGAACTTGAAATGAAAATACAGGATTGGAAAAAGAAAAAAAATTTCTCTTTATCGTAGAAAAGAGGAGGAAAGGGGCGGAAAAAACAAAATTCATTTCATATTTAAAGAAGTAAATGAGATGAGGTAGCGGCGATAATTCGACCGACGATTTGCGAGCAGTACTAAAAGTTGATGATAACGCCTGGATGCAACTATTCGTGTTCGAAGGATGTCTGTGTTGCATATACGAAAAGTTGAAGGCGCTCTGACTTCGCACACTGTCTGCTGAACAGCGCAGCTTCGTCGCGCGATCCGTTTTAAGTAGACGGTAGGAAAGAATAAGACGCTCTTTTCGTAAGGAAAAGACATCTAAGCTATAATGCTGTTGTAAGCAAAAAGGTAAAAAATAATTTTTTTCGAAAATGGACTAAGCGCTGTCTGAGAGGGGAAAAATTGAAAAAGTTCTCCGTTTTTTATAACATGTTCAGGGATCATCCAAAAGACTACTAAAAATTGTTTAAGGTGTTGAAAATCGACGAATTTCACCTTGGACAAAGAAAAAACTTATTTCACGTTCGACAAGGCAGCCGTGAGATCTATTCTCTGCATGCGTACTTGGTTGCGTTTCCAAGAAATAAAAAACAAATTTTATGATCAGACTTGGGGAGAAAAGAGTATCAATTTACACAAGACAGAATTAAACAGAGTTCTCTCGCGGAAGAATACGGACTTACTGTTGTTTCGTCTTGAATCAAGAGAATATTGAAGCTCGCGCTGTCTCCTGGCAGCTTTAGTATAGGCTACACGGAGAGCGAATTCTCCTGTTTTAGTGGAATCACTCATTTCACTTGAACTAAAACTCATGGATTCTGAGGCAAATCAATTTCGAAAATTTGGTCGTAACTGCTGTTTTCGGTATCCCTGGGGAGAGAGTAGCTTTACCGCTTTCGCGCCCGTTACAGCACTAGTTATGGTTCACATCACACCACAATCGCAACAGAGATGAGGTAACTTTTTCGACGGATACTTACACTTTTTTGTGGCGGGAAGACAGTATTATAAGACAGGAATGAGACCACTTTCTTTCCGGTAAAAGTCTTTTTAAGGGATACTATCAAGTCTTTTTGAGCCTCGTGCTGGTCAGAGAAATCCTTTCTGCGTTGAAAAGGAATCCATTCATGAGCACTCAAAATACAACTCCAAGCAAAAATCTGGCTGTACCATTTGAAAAACTAGAAACTTGAAATTTTATCATATTTACGTCCGGAAATATTTCGCAGGTTTAGTTCATTCAATATCGTATCAAAGTCTTCCGCGAGGAACACACCAACACTATTCAAATCAACTTCTATTCCGATTTTCTTTGAACTTTAAGAACGTTAAAAATATAACTGACGCGATTAGGGTTGATTTTGTGTCGAGTTCGAGGATCGCACATGGACGAAGAAAAATCCGAGTTGGACACCGAAAAAAGGTACGATTCAAAAGGGCGAATTAATATAGCTCGGAAACTGACAGTTCCCTAGAAAAACTGGTAATTTTCGACGTGAGGCGGGAGTTAATTAAATATCTGACGCGAAAGGATAAATTAGATTAGTGGCACTTGGGTATACTGCGAATACTGGTCGACTCTAAAAGCTACGGCCTTAGGCGGTTGCGGCGGGGGATGCTAACTCACAGAGCGAGGGAACTGACTCCACTCAAAATAAGCCCGAAATAAAGTTTCTGGACGGGCAGTTGTCAAACCGCGAGAAACAGGAAGAGCAAACAAAAAAGACCTTGCGGTCGGAGCGCAAGGAGGGATCCCGAGGGTGGGCGCCGGCTTAGTGGACTAAAGTATCGATAAGCAACGTTGCCAAGTTTCAATAATATCCCTCCAGTTTCGCTTCAAAATACTGCAATTTCTGGAGCCCCGAGCACAGGAAGAAAAATTTAGCTCAGCAGGACACGTGCTTTCTTTATCCCCAGATATCTAGGAGTAATCTACAGTTTCGGTCGATGTAACAAAACAGTTGGTTGATCAACCAAAGCCTTTTGGTTACTCTGACCGAAAAATACGTGACTCAAAATAACCATGAATACGGAAATTTTTCACTGAGTGCAAGAATGTCGCAACCAGCTTCTGGCATTAAAGTCAGAAAAACAAGGGGGAAAAACGGGGGAAAAGGCTAAAATACAAAAATAAAAAAACCCGAAAGGTTTTGACGCAAAGCTAAATCATTTTCAGTCGAAAAATAAATTAAAAGTTTAAAAATATAGATGAAAAAACCGAAGACCTACATGTTGGTGGCCGAGATTCGAGAAAAACGAACGAATAAACTGACTTGACTTTAACTTTATATTCGACTGAATAAACTTTTTCTCGGATTTCGACCAGCAACAACCAACATGTAGGTCTCAGGTTTTCTCATCGATATTTTTTAATTTTCAATTTATTTTCCGACCGAAAATGACTCAGTTTTGGGTCGAAACGTCTCGAATTTTTTCTTTTTGTATTTTAGCCTTGCTTCCCGTTTTTTCCCTAGTCTTCCTCCTGCTACCATTCTCTAGGGCTGCCTAGTAAACATTTGTATCTCCGGCATTAAATTTACTACATTCAGCGATAAGGAACTACATTTTTTGGCTCATGCATTAAAACACCTGTCTGCATGTGAAAACTAATGACACATAAGTTGTTTTTAGAAAGAGCCAGAAATCGTAGTTCCTAATTGGAAAGTATAGTCCAAATTAGGTAGTTCGCACCGAACGAAGGCGGATCAAATAAAGAGAGATTGGGGAGGGTAGAAAAGGGACTAAAGAAAGGAAGGCTCTTCCTATCAGTGGCGTGGCGTGCTTTGCGATATATCGATTGATCGGCCATTTAAACCTATGGAAAAGCATCGATACACAGGGTGTTCGCAGCGAACACCTTGATAATTGATTATTTACAACAGCTTCAAATGGGGAAATATCGATAGATCGCAAAGAACGCCCCGCCACTGCTTCCTATGGAAAGTTCAAAAGACCCCTGATCTTGATTTAAGCTCTTTAGCGTCGTTACTCCGGATAGGATTACTCTAAGAAACGATTATTACGACGTGCACCTTGCGTTTGCATACCGCTCATTTTGAAGGAACTTTGAGAGAGTTCAAAAAAGCACACGGATAAAAAAGGATGTTTGGTACGGACTAGACTGCCTGGCAACATATTCTCTCCAGGAAATATAGTAGCCTATACTTGATTCCTGGGAGTATTAATTTGACGCCAGGCTCCTTGGTTTCCTGCGGGGAGCTGGAGCATAATGATGGCTCAAGTCGAAGAATGCTTCTATCTCCATGGCAACGTTTCTGGATCTCCGATTATGTTTTCTTTTTTTCGGAGAAAACTAATCGGGATGTCTCCAACAAATTTTCTGTGAGTGTTTTCGAATATGTGGTGAAAGTTTACGGAAAATTTCAAGGAGATAAGTTGACTAGCTCCCTTTTTAGAAAAAATAGACAATCATTTGATGCACAGTTCTCGTAAAATTATCCAGAGAAATTACACCGAGAGACCATTCACCCAAATAACGATCGACAAAATTTAACAATACCGATTTATTGCCAAGGTTGCCACAGAATTTGGAAAATGAAATTCCCTGACATTTCCCTGATTACCCTGACACATTTCGGTGAAATTCCCTGACAATTACAGATACAGCAAATGGTTAAAAAGACATACTTGAAAATAGCTTTCAGGCAAAATTTGTAGTTCGAAACCTTAAACCCATTTTAGAGCGCAAATGCAGGAGATTTTTAAATTTTCCCTGACATTTTCGTCATTTTCCCTGACATTTCCCGGTATTCCTTGACTGTGGCAACCCTGTATTGCGCAGTCGTGAATTACGTAGACCTCGGTTTTTTGATACGATAGACGTTTAAGTACACGAAAGAGGACATGGGTCATTATCCGTGCGAAAATTGATGCAGGAAATTTTCTACCACGTCCTACGTGACATTTTAAAGGGGGAACGTGGGTTTCGATCTAGCATAGCCTCATAATCTGCTTCTTAGACCACAAGTGCTTTATTCGTCGCTCCTCTGGCGTAAGGACGTCTTTCGGTTTTCGCTTGAGCTCCGAAAAGCATGGAGTTATACGGAGAACATGGCTCGCGTGGAAATCGAGGTACGCCCTTACGTCAGAGGAGCGACGCGTTGTCAAATCTCGAGCACTGGCTGCTTCGAATTCGAATTGCAAGGTTGCCACAGAATTTAGAAAATGAAATTCCCTGGCATTTCCCTGATTTCCCTGACAAATTTTGGTGAAATTCCCGGACAATTGAAGATGTGACGGATGGTTAAGAGGGCATAATTGAAAATAGTTTTCAGGCAAAATTTGTTGTTCGAAACCTCAAACACATTCTAGAAAGCAACTGAAGGTGATTTAACAAAATTTCCCTGACATTTTCGTCATTTTCCCTGACTTTTTAAAATTCCCTGACATTTCCCGGGTTTCCCTGAATGTGGCAACCCTGGAATTGTACAATGAAGGGTAAAGCGCGGCAAGGGCGCATTCCTCGTGACGTAGGCGGAAAAAACTGACACAGTTAAGTTTTAATGTGCAATGTGTATGCGCGACAATTTCGAACATCGAACCGAAAGTGCACGGGGGTGGGTTCACACTGACACGCGGGGCGCCGAGTTGCGCTGTAAAAATGTCTCGGACGCGCTCTGGACAGAAGAATTCAATTTTCTTTAAGTGGACTTAATTTAATGCCTTGCAAAAAATCCAGACGTCCCTTCGATTTTAAAAAAAAGGGGGAAAAGAGAAAAATTAAATAATCACGCAGTTTCGCATCATCTTTGGAATGAAAGGGTGATGGACCGAACCTCCCATATCCTTCTTAAAAAAGTTATTTCGGTCTAGATGAGTAAACACAAAATTTTACGATGAAACGTTTGATTTCGGTTAAAAAAAAAAAATAAAAAAAAAATAAAAACCTGGTGAGGCTGATTTTGATTCGATGACACCGTGCGGTACAATTACTCTCGTTCGCAGAGAAAAGAAGAGTCGATATAACGGCTGAGAGAAAAAAAGTATACCCGCCATACTTAACCGTGCTTGCAAAAAGTGTGAAGTATGATCCCACACTAATATGGAAGATTGAAATACACTTTACCAGTGAAAGTCAGGTGTGCAAAAAATGTCCCTTTTGTCTTCTTTAGTTCTTTGTCTACAGCTTTGCCTATCAATTTCAATAATCAGCCCGTAGGTCCAGTCCTGCGGGCTGATTGTTGAAATGATAGACAAAGAAGACAAAAATTACATGGAGGAATCCTAATGGTGGAATGGTTGCAATGGAAATAGGAAGTAGGTAATCGACTAACTAACGACAACCCACGAGAGAACCGATAGTTAGTCTATCATTGTCTTCTTAGTTTATGAACACCACCCATTTCAACCAAGAGGAATGCTCCTTACTTTTTATAACCTCTTTGTATATGGCTTTGTCTATCAATTTCAATAATCGGCCCGCTAGAGATACTGCGCTTTCCCTCGGGAGATGAAGGTATCACCCTGCGCGAGCTCTCGCTCTCCGTTTGTGTGAACTGGGCCTGGGAACAGGGTGGCGGGGCGTTATTGATACTCGATTTCTCCTCACCCACTTCTGCCTCCGGGATGCGCGCCTGGCCCATCTCCTATCCTCCTACTCCTAACATCGCGGTTTCCACGTTGCCAGCACGTTGTAAAATCATCGCTAAAAAGTGGATTTACCGTTCTTAATAACTCATAACGAATCTCGTAAATGCTTCGTGTTGTCTCTTGACGAGGAGGGTGGTCAAATGGAGCCTGAGATGCTATTTCAATACTCTAAATGAGTTTGGATACCGTCCAATAAAATTTTTTGTACACCCAAGTCGTATTTTGTTCGGAGGCAACACTCGCAACATGTTGTGAAAACAAGCAACGATCGCATTTTGTTCGAAGTTGTTTTGTGTTGTGGGGTTGGGGCTTACTTTCGCGCGCAAAACTTGGGGACCACTGAAGCAACATTGTTGTGCGGCAACTGCAACGTACTCAAAGCAAGTCGTTTTTATGTTGTCGCTCAAGACTGCAAAGCTTTTTTCTAACCTAAAATTAAGAGACATATTTTCCCCTTAATCAATCGTAAAAGCCGAACAAAGAATCAAAAACGCCGAACTGATTTCAAACAAAATCAAAGAAAATTTCGACCCGATAATTTCGTTCATTCTATTTTCTTTATCATTTTCATCAACAACAAAAAGTAAACATCGTCCAAATTTCTGAATCCCTGCAATTAAGATCAGAGGCGGACTGGCTCCTCGAAGCGGCCAAGGAAATCACCAACAGACCAGTCCACCCCCCCCCCCCCCACGCACACACACATACATAATTTTTGGATAATAACTAAAGGCGTGCCCGGGTCATTTTGCAAACATTTCCGAAGTTAGGTTGGATTGCCAGAGTTCATTTTCGTGTTAATGTGATACCAAGAATACCCCCCTGGAAATTTTGCCACATTTGTGATTCAAAAAAAAAAAAAAAAAAAAAAAAAAAAGGATCCACTTTCCCTCCGAGGAAATTAGCTAAGTTCGGGATTTTCTGAACGATAGAACCGAGCAGCAGTTCAACTTGAAAAACTTCCACTCGTAAATTTAATTTTCCGGACTGCAAAATCTCTACAGCTTGTGATCGTAGGATTGCAAGCTCGCGGTGTGCACTGTTCGGAAATAGTGAAACCGGACCGAGAAAATACGACTTTTC